TGTCGCTGCTGCCCTTGCTGCTGCTGCTGCTGCTGCAACTTTAACCGAGAGCTTCTTGGCAGCATGTGCTGCTGCTGCCCGATTCTCAGTAGCGTAGGCTGCTGCATCAGCACTTGCTGCACGAGCAAGAACAGCAGCAGCTGCTGCCGAAGCAGCGCAGCAGCAGCAGCAGCAGCAGCAGCTCCTCGACAGGCAGCCAAGGCCGCCAAGAGCAGCAGCAACAGATTGACTTAGAGGTAAAGTCCCTTCTGGTTGATGTACTCCACAACAGCAGCAGGAGTCAGAGACAAACAAGCAGCGAGCTGCAGCACAGCAGCAACAGCAGCAACAGCAGCACCAGCAGCGATAGCAGCAGCAGCAGCTGCAGCAAAAGGTACAGGACAGCAGGCTGCCCAAGGCCACGGCGCTGCATTGAGCAGCCCGCGAGGACGCCGCGCCGCTAGGGTTTAGGGTTTAGGGTTTAGGGTTTAGGGTTTACGTGTTGGGGTCCCTGCTTTCTCTTTTTGAGTTTGCTTCTCAAAACAGAAGAAGAGACACAAGGCAGCAAAGACATGCTGCTGTCTCCGTCTAGCATGTCATTAACAAAAGCAAACCGGTGCATGCGTCTCAGCTGTCTAGACACTTCGCTGCTGCTGCTGCTGCTGCTGCTGCTGCTGAGGCCGCTGCCGCTGCAGGTCACTGCGCTGCTGCTCGGGCTGCGGCTGCGGCTTCCGCTGCTGCTGTTGCTGCCTCTGACTCCATCCTTGTGGCTGCACTGGCTGGCACTGCTGCTGCTGCTGCTGCTGCAGCGCCCCACAGGTGTAGTATCGGCTGCTGAAGCCTCAGCTGCTGCTGCATCTTCTGCTGCTTCTTTTGCAGCAGCAAAAGCAGCTGAGGGGGCCCCCAGGGGGCCCCCTTCTCTATCAATGAGGAGAAACCGAGTGCTCTGCAGCAACCGCTCCCCTTCGTACCTGCAGCAGCAGCAGCAGCAGACACAGCAGCAGCATTAGGAACAGCAGCAACAGCAGCCGCACCAGCAGCAGCCATCAAGGCAGCGGCAGCAAAGCAGCAGCAGCCACAGCAGCAGCAGCAATAGCAGCAGCAGGACAGGAGCAGCTGCAGCGGCGCCCAGGCACAGAGAGGAAGGCCAGGCCGAAGATGGAGCAGCAACTGCTGCTGCTGCGCAGCAAGAAGCTGCAGCAGCCCCTCAAGTAGCAGCAAGAGCTGCAGGAGCTGCTGCAGAAGCAGCAGCAGCAGCTGCTGCAGCAGCAAAGGAGCAACAGCCCTACCACTTATGCAAGTTAGGAATACAGTCAGCACCAACGAGAAGCCACAGCTCCGGTAATTGCTGCTGCTGCTGCTGCTGCTGCTGCTGCTCTAGCAGCCGCTGCTGCAGAATGCCAAGCAGTTTAACCGTGGGCACAAAGCAGCCCGCCTGCGCCTCTATGTCCAGCACCTGAGCAGCAGCAGCAGCAGCAGAAGCAGCAGCAGCAGCAGCGGCAGGTGAAGCACCAGCAGCACCCAGAGAAGAAACATTCATGGCAAGAGTGGCACCCAGAGCAGCAGCAGCAGCAGCACCAGCAACGGCACAACAGCAGCAACAACAGCAACAGCACAGCACCAGTCTCAACAGCAACAGCAGCAGGAGCACAACAGCAAGAAGAACAGCAGCAGCACAAGAGCAGGAGCAACAGCATCAGCGCAGCAGCAGCAGCAGCGGCAGCGCAGCAGCAGCAGCAGCAGCAGAGTTTACATCGACAACTTGCCCCGCAAGAGGGCCGAAGAATTCCTTGACTGCGAGGCGAGTCATTTGGAGACGATCCCAAGTGGAGACGCACAAGTGCTTGTCTTTGCGCACGCCTGCTTGCTGCTGCTGCTGCTGCTGCTGCTGCTGCTGCTGCTGCTGCGGGTGCGGCTGCGGCTGGTCTTGCCGCTGGTGCAGGTCTTGCTGCTGTTGCTGCTGTTGCTGGTCTTGCCGCTGGTGCTGGTCTTGCTGCTGGTGTTGTTGCTGGTGGTTTCCCTCCTGCTGCTGCTGCTGCTGCTGCTGCTGCTGCTGCTTGTCTGCAGGGGAGCCCCCACAGGGCACCAGCCAAACTTTTGCTGCTGCTCTACTCGCCAGCACTGCAGCAGCAGCCTGCAGGTGTGCGTAGTGCGGAGGGTCGAAGCTGCCCCCATAGACGCAGATGCTGCAGCAGCAGCAGCAACAACAGCAGCAGCAGCAGTAGTGTAAGCGCAACAGCAGCAGCGGCTGTGGGGGAAGCAGCAGCAGCAGCAGCAGCAGCAGAATGACAGCATGAACATCATAGCCAAAGCGCAGCAAGCACTGGAGACAATAAGTGCTGCAGTGGTTAGCCGAAAGAGCTTTTGCAGCAGCACAAGCAGCAGCGGAATAAGCAACAGCAGCAGCAGCAGCAGCAGCAGCAGCAACCGCACCGCTCAGCCGTGCCCAACTCCTCAGGGCGCACCGGGCATCTCCTAAATGGCCCCATTAGACGGCTGCTGCAGCTGCTGCTGCTTCTGCTGCTCCTGCCCCTGCTGCTGCTGCTGCTGCTGTCGCTGCTGCTGGGGCTGGTGCTGCTGGTGCTGCTTCTGCTGATGCTGCTTCTGCTGCTGCTGCTGCTGGTCCAGTCTGCTGCCGCTGCTGCGTATAGTGCTGCTGTTGCGTATATTGCTGCTGCGGTTGCTGCTGCTGCTGTCGTGGCCTTCAAACGACTGCGTCGGGGTACCGAGTGGCAGCAGATGCCGCAAGCTCCACAGTGGATTCACTGCTGCTGCTGCTGCTGCAGCTGCTGCTGCTGCTGCGGCTGCGCCAACGCCACCCGTATTCCAGCTGCTGCTGCGGCTGCTGCTGTATGTGCTGCTGTTTCCACTGTTGCTGCTGGTGAAGCCGCTAGTCCTGCACTGAAATTACTCACGCCATGGCTGCTGCTGCTGATGCTGCTGCTGCTGCGGCCGTTGCTGCGCAAGAGGCTTTACAGAGACCGCGTCGGCAGCAGAAGCAGCAGCAGCAGCACAGAGGCGTTGACCGAGCTTTCTTCAGCACCCTTTTCAGTTTAGAATCTTTTAATAAATGTAAGAAAGTAAATAAGTTTAAAAACGATCCCGAGGCCCCTCTGTAAGACCAGCAGAGGCCCCAGGGGGCCCCCGGGGGACCCCACGGAGGCCCCCAGGGGCCCTAGGGGGGGCCCCTCTGGGGGCCCCACGGGGGCCCTTGGGGCCCCTGAGGGCCCCCTAGAGCCTCGCTAGCTTGCTGCCCTTTTTAATGCATTTCGTATTGCTTGTCACCTCTATATTACGGGTTTAGGGCCTAGGTTTTAGGGTTTAGGGTTTAGGGTTTAGGGTTTAGGGTTTAGGGTTTAGGGTTTACGGCCTAGTGTTTAGTGCCTGGGAGCGAACGGGATTCTGGGCCTGGCCGTTGCCCTGCTGCTGCCATTGGGCGGTCACCTGCAGCAGCTATCACTGCTGCAGTTGTTATTGCTGCTGCTGCTGCGGCGGCGGCCGTTGCCGCTGCTGCCGCTGCTGCTGCTGCTGCTGCAGCCCTTCGGTGAAGCCAGCCCGCTGCCAGTGTGGGGTCAAGAGGCGCTTTCAAAAAAGAGCTGCAGCTGCAGCAGCGGCAACCCGGTGCCGCTGCTTGCTGCAGCAGCAAGCAGCAGCAGCATGGCCAGGAGCAGCAGCAACTGGCGGCAGCAGCAGCAGCTACAAGCCAGCAGCAGCAGCAGCAAAGTCTTGGGCCCCATCAACCAGTTGGTGCTGCTCCTCGTGAGCTAAGCCAGCAGCAGCAGCAGGCGGGGTGCCTGGAGCAGCAGATGAGGCAGCAGCAGAAGCAACGGGAACAGCAGCAGAAACTCCGGAAGCAGCAGCAGCAGCAGCAGCCACAACAGCAGCAGCAACAGCAGCAGCAGCAGCAGCTAGGATGGGCCACATTAGTCCTGAGGTGCTGTGCTCCTTGGTCGAGACAGCAATGCATTCTTTGCTTTGCGTCCGGAAGGTCTATCCCCCCGGTAAGCTGCTGCTGCTGCTGCTGCTGCTGCTGTTGGTGTTGCTGCTGCTGCTGCTGCCGCTGCAGGTGTTGCTGCTGCTACTAGTGCTGCCTATGCGCCCGCTGCTGAATTGTCTGCGAGATTGTCTTGCTGCCGCTGCTCCTCTTGCCTGCACCTGCTGCTGTTGCTGCTGCTGCTGTTGCTGCTGTTGCTGCTGCTGTTGCTGCTACTGCTGCTGCTGCTGCTGCTCAGAGTCTTTCTCTCGCGTGCGCCGCTTCGGCCAGCTGGTGTGGCAGTCAAACTCCAAAGCCCTGAGGGCTTACCTCAACGAGGTTTGCAAACCCTAAACCCTAAACCCTAAACCCTCAATGCTAAACCCTCTTCCGAGACCCTAAACCCTAGGCCCTCGCAGCTGCTGCGAAGCCTAGCCAGAGGCCCCTTACCCAGCACCAGCCCCGGCAGCAGCAGCAGCAGCAGCAGCGGTTTCTGGCGTTGGTGCTGCATCCTCTGGCAGCTAGCTAGCTAGCTAGCTATCTGAGCAGCTATCCAGGTGGCTAGCTGGCTAGCTAGCTAGCTAGCTAGCTGGGCGTTGCGTTTGCTTCAGGTTTGCTGGTCCTTGCTGGAGCCGCTGAACCAGCTAGCTAGGCAGCTAGCCAGCTAGCTAGCTAGCTAGCCAGCCAGCTACCCAGCTAGCTAGCCAGCCAGCTAACTAGCCAGCCAGCTACCCAGCTAGCCAGCCAGCTACCCAGCTAGCTAGCCAGCTGGCCAGCTAGCTAGCCAGCTAGCCAGCTAGCCAGCTAGCTAGCTAGCTAGCTGGGCGTTGCGTTTGCTTCAGGTTTGCTGGTCCTTGCTGGAGCCGCTGAAGCGGGGCCTTGTTGCTGCTGTTTGTCTGCGGCTGCATGACCAGCGAGGAGCAGCAGCAGAAACTTACACTTTTGCTTTTCCCCAGGAGGCCCCTGGCGAGCCTGCTGCTGCTGCTGCTGCTGCTGCTGCTGCTGCTGGTCCTGCGGCTGCTGCTGCGGGCGCGGACTATGACGCGACAGAAAGCATTCAGAACTTCCTCACCCGGACAGAGCTCATCAGCTGCTGGCTGCCGCAGCAGCTGCAGCAGCAGCAGCAGCAGCAACTGCAGCAGCAGCAGCACGAGCAGCAGTTGCCGCT